TATGTATCAAAACATTGCCAAAAACAATTAGCTAGCAATTGGTGGAAGCTGAGAAGTAATACCAATGGAAGCAAAGAGCTTAGCAGAGAAATCAAGGACAGAAACAAAGAGAATCCTTAGCTTACCCTCATCCCAGAGTGACCTTGCAGAGCAGGCTAAGAATATTGGGACCTTGATCGCCCTGATCCTGACTCACTCGTACGGTGGAGGATCCATACTGGGAGAGGCAAACTATGAAGATCCGAGGTGGTAGATACTCAGAGCCCTATTTGCAGAGAGTAATGTCACTCCATTAGAAGCAAGCCACTACTCCAACCACATCTCTCAGGGTGTGGCTCAAAGATTTTGCCAAGGACAAGAGGCAGACAATAAAAAAGAGCACCAATGCTCTATCCAAAAGAACGGACTTTATTAATAATGGATTATGGAAAGTTTAAGCCTGTGGGTGCTCTGGAAAACAATGAGGATTTCTGAGGCAAGTAATTAAGAAGAGGCTATTAGCTGTACAAGAGCAACAAGTTAAACTGTAGGCCAGGTAGTTTATCAGAGATAACTAAGGAAAGCTACAACTAAGAAGAATCCCCCTAGGGTCAGAATAAACCTTAAAATTAGTCTCAAAACTAATCCTGCAAAAGAGCCCAAGTATAACTGAATCAGTTGTGCAGTGATTTATGTCCCAAGGCATTACCAAGAACAATAATTAGCTAGCAACTAGTGAAACCTAACAGGTAGGTGTAATATCAGTGGAAGCCAAGAGGCAGAGAAATCAAGGAAAGAGACAGAGAGAGCCCTGATTACTGTCATCCCAGAGTGACTGCACATGCCCAAGGCAGTGCTCAAGAGAGGAACCACATTATAGGGGTCACACTACAAGAGTAACAAACTCAATTAAAATAGTACAGCCAAGTCACTGAAGAAATAAACAATCAAACAACAACAAAAGCCCCAGAGGGGTGGTGTAAGATGGGGCAAAAATGAGCAGAATATCAGAGAAATATGAGACTCTGTTAAGTGCATTAATATATGCATAATGGGAGTACCAGAAGAAAAGGAGAGAAAGAAGTGGAAATGAATATTCAAAGAAATAATGGCTCAAACATCTGAAATTTAGTTTTTTCTAAAAAGAAAGAAAAAAGAAAAAAAAAAATTCATCTACATACTCAAGAAGCTCAACAAATTCCAAGCAGAATAAACACAAACTCACACCCAGATACATCATAGTACAGATTCTGGCGGGGGCGGGGGGATTTTTTTTTTTTGAAAGCAGAAACAGAAAAAGGATTTGTTTTATAGTAGGAAACCTCATTAAGCCTGAATGTCATAGCCCAAATGCTGGAAAAACAAAAACAGGAACTTTTAACCAGGAGTTTTATATTTAGCAAAATTCTCTCAAATATAGGTGAAATAAAGATAGTCCATATAAACAAACACTAAAGATCTGTTCATATCAGATTTGCCATATATAAAAATATACTAAAAAGTGTCCTCTGACTGGAGCCATGACCCCAGGTACTAACTTGAATCCATTCCAAAAAAACAAAGGCCACTGGTAAATGTAATTGTGTAATTATAAAAGACAGTGTAAATACACATTTCTTCCTTCTCTCAACTTATTTAAAGGGCAACTGTATAAAATATCATGTAATTGCACTATAGACCCAGAACATATACAAATGTGACATATTTGACATGACAACACAAAGGAGATGAATGAGAACGAAGAAGTACTGAGTAAGAAATGGCACCAGATGGTAACTCAAATTTACAGGACAAAATGAACAGAACCAGAAATGGTAAATAAAAAGCTTACTAGAAGAAACTCTATAAATATAATGTGTTCTCCTTTCTTCACTTGCTTCTTTAATATACATACAATTATATAAAGTAAAAATTATAACAATGTATTGTTGGAATTACAGCATGTATAGATGTAAAATGTATAACAATAATAGCACAAAAAGAAAGAAGAGAGTTCAGAGCTATTTACTAGTAACTAAATAACTCACTATAATAAAGTTATTATAAATCTGAAATACTCTGATAAATTAACAAGTATATGATATGCACTTTAGCAACCACTAAGAAAACAAATTCAAAAACGTGAAAAAAATCATTAAAGCAATTGAAATATACTAGAAAATATTCACTTAATTCAAAAGAAAGCAATAGAGGAGGAAGAGAGGAACGAAAACAAAAAGACACAAGACAGGTGGGAAACAAAAGGTAAAATGGCAGACATAAATCCAACTCCGTCAACAAGAGCCTTAAATGTAAATGGGGTAAATCACCCAATTAACAGGCAGAGAGACTGTCAGGCTGGATTTCAAAAAAACAAAAGATCCAACTATAAGCTGTCTACAGAAGACACATTTTAGATTCAATAACACAAATAAGTTGAAAGTGAAAAGATGGAAAAAGATACATCATACAAAGAGCACCTATAAGAAAGCTGGAGCAGCAGCTATACTAATCTCTGACAAAGTATAATATATTAAAATAAAAAATGTTACTAGAGATAAAGGAGGACAAAAGTCCCAAAATGAAACTGACAGAATTGAAGACATCCTTCAACCATATTCAAAGAATTCAATACACTACTTTCACAATAGACAGAAATAGGCAGATCAACAAGGAAACTTCTTGAACAATACTATTTGCCAGCACTATAGACCTAACAGCCATCTACAGAACACATCATCCAACAACAGTACAATACATATTCCTACCTACACATGAAATATTCTGCAGGATAAACCATACGCTAAGCCAGAAAGCAAGCCTCAATAAATTTAAGACTGAGATCATATAAAGTATGTTTTCTGACCACAACAGAAAAAATTACAAATCAGTAACAAACTTGGGAATTCACAAATATGTGGAAATTAAACAATACACTCCTAAATAACCATTGCATCCAAAAGTAATTACAAGGCAAAGTATTTTCTAATACTTTGAGATGAATGAAAACAAAAACATGGCATACCAAAACTTACCAGATGCAGCTAAAGCAATGCTCAGAGGAAAATGTATAACAGTTAATGCCTTTATTCAAAACCAAATTGAAATCAGTAACCCAGCCTTCCACCTTGTGATACTGGAAATGACACAAACTAAATACAAAGCAAGCAGAAGTTAAAATAATAAGATTAGAGAAGAGATTAATGTCAGAGAGATTAGAAACACAATAGACAAAACCCAAAATTCCACTTTGGTTCCTTGAAAAGGTCAATAAATTGACAACCCTTTAGCTAAACTGACCAACCAAAAAAAGAGTAGACTTGAATTATCTTAATTGGCAAAACTTCTGACACCATTATTACTTTACACACCATAAGTACATTCGTTACCATGAATCAGAGGCACTTACATGTGTATAACCTACATGAAAAAGCATTTCACTCTAAATTAAATTTCAAGATCTATGAAATTTGTTAATTATTCCCTGCTTTTCCTTTTGGGAGACTCCTTCCCCAATTAGAGGGTTCATCACATAGGTTTTACTTCTCTGTCTTATTACACCACCAAAACAGACTGGAGATTAGTTGTTGTACTTTTGTTTACTGACAAACTACCTTTCAAATTCATTCCTACAAAAGCGTACTATAAACAGTATTCATATTTTGAATCTGAGGTAACCAGCTGTGGAATGAAAGGATTTTCCATATATAGAATATTAAGCCTCCACACAGTCATCAATGAATACCATGATCTGAACCAAGTAAGTCATTTCAGTTTTTTACTCAGAAAATATACAGTAAATAAATTCAAACTGCTTCGATATACAGACATAAACACACACACACACTCTCACCCACACACACAAACCTGGGAAGGGTGAAATCTGAACAACTAGATGTTATCCTGATATACAGACATAAACACACACACACTCTCACCCACACACACAAACCTGGGAAGGGTGAAATTTGAACAACTAGATGTTATCCTGAAAGTCATTTAATTACTATTTGTTTTTTGTTTGTTTGTTTGTTTGTTTGTTTGTTTGTTTAAGACGGAGTTTCGCTCTCGTTACCCAGGCTGGAGTGCAATGGCGCGATCTCGACTCACCGCAACCTCCGCCTCCTGGGTTCAGGCAATTCTCCTGCCTCAGCCTCCCGAGTAGCTGGGATTACAGGCACAGGCCACCATGCCCAGCTAATTTTTTTTTTGTATTTTTAGTAGAGACGGGGTTTCACCAAGTTGAACAGGATGGTCTCGATCTCTTACCTGCCTCAGCCTCCCAAAGTGCTGGGATTACAGGCTTGAGCCACCGTGCCCGGCCACTATTTGTTATTATATTTGTTTATGTGGGAATTTCAGGGAAAGATGAAAGGAGACTGCAAGAAGCATCAGAAGGTTAGTCCAAGAACAATCCATGACTGTTCAGCACCAGCCCAGTCAGGAGTGGAGAGGCTGGGGACCTGTGCAGTATTTTGTTCCAGGAATGCCATATGAATAGCCCTCATTCATGGAAAGCTTCAGATCTAGTCTTTTGATGTTAATTAAAAATAAGGCTATTCCTGTGCAGCCAATGTTTGGCATATGAACAGTAACAGTGCTAGATGTAAATATTTTTGTCACAGTTTTGTAACCACGCTTTGCCATTTCCTCACTGTTGGACACTAGAAACTATTATACACAAGGCAAATATCCAGGACCTCGCTCCACTTTCAGAGGCATTCCCTGGAGCTGCCCCCATGTGATCCAGGGCTACCAAAAGATCTCAACCCTTAGCAAGCCCCCACTTTTATTCACACTGCCATAGCCCGAGTCCTTTCTCTCACTGCCCAAGACTAGACAATGAACTTTCTCTGCTACCATTTCAGGGATATCTGGTGTGATTTTCATTTGTATTTAATGCTTCCATTATTACCACCTCTACTTAATACATCTAAAAACTCTGAACATATACTTATTCCACCTGTCTTCTATTTCTATAACTTAGATATTCTGCATCACAAAATCCCTCCAAACTGAGATTATGTCATTGAAGTCATTCATTTTACAATTATAACAACAATAACATTTATTATTTGCTTTGTGCCAGGCACTCTACTGCTTTACATAAATTATCTCATTCTGTCACATCTAACTGCAACTAAGTATCTGCTTACATTTGCTAGTGGCACCTAAAATAAGGATATTGTTGGTCATTTTTGAAAGAAATGTCTTAACATACCAAAGAAGTGGAATCAACAGAATAAAACATTTTTAAGTCTTACAAAGTGTACAATACTACAGTAATATAGGACACCATTAAATTTCTACTTATGGAAAGTAAAGCTATTCCTGGTACGTGCCGTTGATTTCTTTTTATCCTATTTCTTATACCTTTCTCAAATTCCTTTAAACCACAGCTTTGAATATGTCAAAATAAATATATCTTGAACCATACATTCAGTTAAATCCTTTAACTATGTAGTAATATATAAAGTATTATGTTGCTGCATTAATGCCAAAAATGTTTTCCATGGCAATCCAGCCTAACAATTAATGTGGTATGGGTGCTGAAAAAAATAAAATGAGATGTAATTTTACTCATCATTCACTTTGCATTCAGCTTTGCAAGAAGCTCAATGCTGTTCTTAATCAAAACTCTTATTTTATTATCAAGAATTACACTAGTCTCTAAAACGAGTGAATTTTCTGTTGGAAACAGAAAATGAAGAACTACTACCACTGGGAATGTGTTTTCCTTTCTCAATATTAACACATGATATATATTCATATTAATAACAACTCTGGAAACTAGTTTCATTCCTTCTACACATAAGCAGTAAACAGCATGTACAAATATGAATCCTAGCAGCAGTAATGTGGATATATAATATAGGGTTTCTTTGGAATATACAGCCATTTCTAATATTTCATTTCAGCAAGTGTATAGGCAACCATCACAGATGTCCATCAAGGCTGAATTCGATGAAGACAAACAATGCAGGCTTTGAGGGTAAACTGAAGCTGCAGCTCAAAAGTTTCCTTTTCTCATCCACAGGCACCATAGGACCATTATCTTCCTCCTTTAGGCAAAAAGAATGAATCAATTACGTTACTGATACTCTTCCACAGCAGACTGAAAAGTCTTCTTACAGTACAAGAGATAGTAAAAACTAAAAATTTCCTAAGAAAACATGGAAATTTCAAAAATATCTTCATGCTCATTATTTCTGTAATTTTTCCACAAAGTCTACCATAATTTGATTTCTATGGCAGAACCTATTAATGCAAAATTACACAGAAATAAACACTTTCAGCCAAAATAAGTAATGCTTGAACTATTTTACAAACAAAAAATTTGTACATCATGTCAAATAATAAATAAAAATAAAGCTTTAAGTTCTTGTCATCAAGTATAATAATCACAGATGGATGGTAACTTAAGAGCACACAGATCCCTTATTCGTAATTCCCAAATGACTTACAGTTCTACTAAATAGATAAATAATAAACACAGAACATATATATGACAATAGTGCTTTCTTGAGATAACAAATAATGTGCTTCTCATATAGGGAAACAACATCAGCTAAGATTTTAGTTCAATGATACTGAACTTTTTGACGTTGAACTAGCATTTCCAGCAATGGCAGTGGGAAACTGGCCATCTCATTAATTGCCTAAGGTAGGTAATAAATATCTATTAAAATTTAGAATGCATATACTTTTTGTCCTGAATTATACTTCTAAGAAGTTACAATAGACATATAATTATCCAATCATACAAAGAGCCTAGTATAAGCATATTCACTGCAAAAAGAAACTGGAAACAAACTAAATGGCCTCCTTCTGGGCAATGTCCTTTGGAAAAAAGAAAATAATAAAACAAAAAAATAAATGGCTTCCTTTCCTTAATAAATTATATTACAATGGAATATTTCAGAATTATGCATATATAGTATATATGTATCTGTAGATTTACCTGCACACACATATATAGACATATACATGTCTACATATGCATACATATATAAACATAGATACATATAAATATGTAGAATGTCTGGAACAATTTATTAGAAAATATTTATAATGCCAGGTTATACATTTCCAAACTATATTTCTTTTTTTTTTTTTTTTCCCACTCTACCAGGACCAAACTACATTTTAAACATGATAGTCACAATAAAATCTTCTTAAATGTTTTCATTTTTTTTAATTGACAGACAAAATTGTAGATATTTAACATGTCAACAAAATGTTTTAAAATATATACACATTGCACAATGGCTAAATCAAGCTAATTAACATGTGTGTTACCTCACATAGTTAAAAATCTACTCTTTCACCACTTTTCAAGAAAGTGATATGAAACTGATGATCAAACTATAAAATCACAGCAATTCAGATTTAATGGGGCCTAAAGGTGACAATGTATGGATTTTCTGCAAAAGGAAACAACCCGGGGTCCAGTGTTTCCCAAACTGTGTTCCATAAAACACTACAAGCTGGTTGAAAAAAATGAATCCATGTTAAAAACTATTGTATCAACACGGTTAAACTATGGTTCTTTAATTCAAAACCATCTCAGAGGCTCTCATATGCTAACGTGCACTGCAAATCTCCAAAAGGAGAATATTACATCCAGAATTCTCCAGATATATGTGAACAGTCACCTCTTAATTTAACACACATTTTGGAGGACCAGAGCACTGCAGAACTCAATTGGGAGAGGTTGGTCTTAGAGTTTGAAATTTCATTATAAGATATAGCCAACCTTCTAAATATCAAGCTGCCATGGTCCAAAACATCGAATAAAAGATGGGTAGGCAAATACACAATCATTCTAATCATATGAGGGCAGCTCTCAAGCCAAAGCAGAACACTTAACATTTAGCACACATTCACAGTGCAACAGATGTACATATATGCTGGTGTCCTATTCATTTTTGAAACTCTCAGGGCATAATTCAGGGGGTTCTTGGTAAATGCTGAATGAATTCTAATTTACCTATGTGTAGAATCTCCTGGTGAATTTGCACACTCACTCAGCTAAAATCTCCCTCACAGGGGAAACTCAACACCCTGTGCTATTGAGCTTTACTTCCTTATATGTTTTTCAAAAAAATGACACCTCCCTGTGCCAAGGCTCTCTGAAGATGACCTTTAAATTAGCTTTCCCAGCCTCAAAAATGTACACTTGGATCTTGTTTACTGCAAATACCAGATTAATTGAAAAAAAAAGTTTCAATCAATCACAACCTGGGGTTTGGATTTGGAATGAGGGATACCCTAGTCCAAATCCCAGCTCTTTTATCCAATTGCTGTAAGATTTTAGGCACCTTATTTGCCCCTTCTGAGACTCAGATGATAATATCTACTTCTTAGGGAACGTGTGGGACTGTAAAGATGGCAGGTATCATGTGCTGAGCATAGTACTAGGAGTAATAATTTTGGGTGATTTTAAAAACATCTCACTAGCTGAAAATTAAACTACAATACTGTGCCCCAACATAAATGTGAAATATGGCCCATTATTTTTGTAGAATGTGTTAGAAGTTTACTTTTCAGTGTTTTAGAGAAAGTTTTCACAGGATAAAGTCACACTTCGTCTCATTTGTTCTGTATTTCTAAACTCCAGCCATACACCTGACCCAAAGCACTCAGAAAACGCATGTGCATGCATAAAAAAGTGCAAAATGGCAGTAGCAATTGCTAATTCTATTTGCATCAAAATTATGCATGCTTATAAAGATTTTAAGTTTTTAAATATTATGAGACTATTAGTCCCTTGTTCTATGTGTCACCAATTTTCTTCTCCATAACTATTTTAGCTGATTATTTTAACACCAGAGAGCTAAATGGCATGATTCTATTGCTACCTTTCAATTTTCTGCTTCAGTATTATTTATCAATTTTTTCCTTTGGAGAATAAAGATTTGACCCTCTTTCCTCCTGTTAACATCATGCGCACACACACACACACACACACACACACACACACACACCTCACCCCATATGAACCCTTCCTATCTTCCCATCACCCCATCCTCCAAATCTGGCTATACAGTAAATTTGGTTGGATCAATATGCAGCTTCTCTTACCGTAATGATGTAAGAGTATTCAGAGGAGAACTACATGTGTTAATTTTTCTTTCCTGCACAGTATTTTGTTTTCTCTGGAATGATACACACCTTGGGTTTTTCCACCTAAGTGTTCTGTGTGCTCATAACCAATTCAATGCACAAATACCTACCCATTGCCTAACTCTCCTCTCAAGAAGGGAAGATATGAATTGTTTATCAACTTCAACATTCCTGAAGAAAGCTCATCTAGAACTTTCTCACTTGCTCTCATCTGGACTGACTGCCTGGTTTGCCTATGAACTCATTCCACTGCCATTCTGGGCATTCATTCATTCCCCTGGTTTTTCTCTTTTGCTGGCTCTCCTGTTTCCTGGATCTCACATCTTTTTTCCTTGGCTTTCTCCATTTTGGTGTGGCATATCAAGTAACTTCTGGGAAATAATTTTTGATGGCTTTGATATCTAAAAATGACTACTGTACCCACACATTGGGTAAAACGTTTGACTAGGTGAGGAATTTGGTGGGTTATAATTTTCCCTCAGAATTTTGAAGGTCATGCTCACTGCTTTAGCTTCCAGTGTTGCTTTTGAGAAGTCAGATATTAGAATTCCAGATTCCTTGATTTTGACCTGTTTGTTGCTTTGGTTTTTGCCATTCTGGAATTTCTCCCTCCATGTTCTGAAGTTTCACAATGACGGTGTCTTGGTGTGTGTTTTGATCTACTGTGTTGGGAATTCAGTGGGTTCTTTCAGTTTGTAACTTATGCTCATGAGTTCTAGGGAAACGCTTTGGATAATTTTGTGGCCGACTCCTGTCCTCCACTTTCTCTGTTCTCTCTCTAGCTTATCATGTGGATGATGGACATCTTAGACTGGTTCTCTAACTTGCTTACATTATTGTATTTTTCATCAGTTTACCTTTTGCTCTAATTTCTGAGAAGTTTCTTCAATTCTGCCTTCTGATTCTTCTGTAGAAGTTCTCATTTCTGCTATCATGTTTTCAGTTTACAAAAGCTCTTCATTTTCTAAATATTCCTTTTCCTAATAGCACCCTGTTTTTTTGTGGATGCAATTTCTTTCCTTACCTCTCCAAATACATGAATGACAACTTTTTTATAGTTTTTCTCTTTTACAAAGTATTTATGTCTTTTAACTCACCTTATGGACTGTTTTGGGGTTCTTTCATTTATAGTTCTTCTTCAAATATCTTCAATTGTTCATATCTAGGACTGGCAAACAACCACTACAACAAAACCAGAGTGGAGGCCTCCTTATCATACGCTCAGCACCGGATGAGCCCACTGGTCCACCTCTGCAGAGAAGTCACCTGTGCTTGTGAGACCCTTCCCAGAAGACACTTCCAGCTTCATCTGGAGAAGAGGGGCCTTTCTGCCAGTATATGGGAAGATGACATGAGGTCTGAGGATGTTATTTACTCACTCAGTTGTGTCTATTTCCCCTAGTACAGTGTCTCTCTCTTCATTATCTCCAGAAGACAAGTATCTCCCATCCGCCAGGGCTTTGGAGAGGACTTAGAGATAAGTGCTTCTCAAATAGCTATCAACCAACACAGATGACTTCGGCTTCCTTTCACTCCACCTTCCAGATGATATCTGTTGCCAGCTATTCCAGGGAATTTGAGAGATTCTATCATGTAAATGGGTTTGTTCCTCACATCTGCTAAATCTGTTACAAGACCATCTGCTTCCAGCTTCCAAAATATTGTGGCTGTTGTCTCCTCTCTTGCTTTCTGTATCCTTGTGAGTCAAAGCACTTAAAAAGAATCTCTTTCCTGTTATTCTAATGCAGTCTGTGGTAGAAAAAAAGTAATTGCCTATCTTCAATTGATGGTCATTATTTGAAACAGAAGTTCATCTTTATGTCTTTGTGTATTTTCTAAAGTTCCTACAATAACTTTATTACATAATCAGAATGTAAATTTATTTGGTAAAACAATCTAAAGAAGCAACACTTTGAATATATAAAGGTAAGGCTGA